GATGGGTCTTGGCCGCTCTGGGCCACTCAACCGCCGGGGAGCTGGCGGATGAACCTGGTGTAGTTTTGTCACTGAATCTCAGAGGCGTAGCACCATTTCTGGCGCCTGGGGACAAATTTTCAATTTGGCGCCCCCCCCCCCCTCTCGCCGGAGACAAACTTTCAATTTGGCGCCCCCTCACCGTATTTTTTAAATATTTGTAATGCAAACCTATAGCTAAAATGAGCTTTTAAATTTTTCCAACCATTTTGGCGCCCCAAGGGTTAGCGCCCGGGGACATATGTACCCCCCGCCCCCCTCGCTGCGCCTCTGCTGAATCTAGTATTACCTATGACCGCAATTGATGAGATAGCCCCTCTGGATTCCCCTCTGGATTCTGAGCTCATAATCGTATAATGAGAAAAATCGAACCCTCCCAGGGTGCCACACTTAAGAATTTTATTCTTTCTCGAAACCCTTTTCACCATCGAAACCCTTTTCACCAACTACCCAAAATTTTATGACTCTCGTACGAACAGTGTCAAATTGCATCTGGCTTTTATTTTTATGGAGAAAAATTGCATTGCTTCCTGTCAGAGACCCCAGATCGAATGGGGCGCCAAAAGGGTAGACAATTTTTTTAAAAAATCATCATTCTTCAGTAAAATTTAAGAGAACAGATTTATACATGGCTGATATCCTCAATTATTTTATATAGGGGAGTGTATGTAGGGATGGGCGCCTTTTTGCCAGCGTTTGAATAGGGTTGGCACATAATTGATAGTTCGCCCCGGCTGCCGGAATAGGTTGCTACGCTTCTGCTTCCTGCTAGGGTGCCGCCCTGGCGAAATCTTTCCGGGGGGGGGGGCGTGCGGACACTGTTAAAAGTATTTTTTTCTATATAAATTCCGTTTCGTTCGGGGGTGGGGGGGGTCGATAGACTTTCTTCGAGGGGTGGGGGGAGGCTCTGCTTCTCCCCCCCCCCCCCCCCTCCGAATAGATTCCTGGAAAAAACTCTGTTCACAAAGTTTTATGGCGATCCGATGAAAAAGATGTAGTAATTCATATAGGACAAACAGATAAACATACTTTCATTTCTATAAATATAAATAGATATATAGGGCCTACTTTTACTAGTGTCCGCATACCCGCACCCGGAAACTTAGTCACAATTTTCTTTGTTACATTTGAACCCTTTAGGTTAATCAATATTAACAAAATTGAACAAGATGCAACAAATACAGTTAACCAAGAAATTGAACAAATAAAATTCACGTTATCTTTTTATTGTTTTTAGATATAGAGTAGTAACAGACTACCTACAGGTCCTAACTCGCGACGAGGTACACATTTGTATTAAAACACACATCTAAGACATTTTCCATTTAGGTGGGTTTTGCAGTAAAGTGGTTTCTTAAGTCGTGGACAAGTGATTGCGCTTATCTCTGTTGAGTAGCTATGTATCCTGTCCTATATTAGACACATTTGTAAATATCTGTCACAATATGGGCATAGAGATGATATAACGATAGCTTATCTTTGCGGACGACGCTAAACTTTGGCATCGACACCACGGCCTACAAGTTCAAATTCGGTCCTTCAGAAATGTTTGAAGTCTCTAGATTAAAACTACTTTTCTCTTTTATGTACCTACTGACCACATCACATGCATTTGTTCTGAAAGTCTAAAAACAGAGGCACAAATATATCGTCTAGACTTGTGAGGTCTACAGATTAGGTATTTTGGCAGTTATCTAAGCCCTTGCCTGTTCTGACTCAAAGCCTCATTCTTTCTCTATCGACGCCTTGCGTAACATGGGATTGGGTTTTTAAGGCGGCATAAAGCTTTATGTTGTTCCTTTTTGAGTACACTAGATTAAAAACTAACGTTTTCAGATGCCTAAAGATGTTTAACCATTAATTAATCAGAATAATGGGTCAAGATTTCAATTCTTGGTTTTGGGACACGTTAGTTGCCGGGGTTGAGCTAATGTCGATAGCATAAGGACTGTACCTTGATGCGGGCGTTTTATTTGTTGCCCATCGTAATAATTGAATGGTTGATGGGGCTTCTTCAAGGGTTTGATTTGCCGTAATGTTAATGATATCATGCATGTGCGGCTTTTCTAAGAAGAAAATGCGTTTAAACACTTTTTAGTTATGCTTTTTTTTTAAATAGGCCCATATTTTACGACAACATAATCGTAATGAACAATAAAATGAATTTAAACAACTTTAGAATACACCTGTTTCGGCTAACATGAATGTTATTCTTCAAACTAGTAATGTTGAACGTGTCTTTTTCGCATTTTCGACTTATAAGCAATACAGTAAATTCCGATAACGTCCATATGCATACAAGCAATGGCGTAGGCGAGGAGGGGTTTAACCCTTTATCTACTGACGGTACTTATAAGTACCACTTTAATAAAGTGCCTGTATTATTTTTAATTTAATACGAATTTTAAAAATTATTGTGGTAATTAATAGGATTATCTCCCCTGAGTCGCCGGTAGTCGGAGGTATCAATTTTTTTTAAAAAAATTAATGGTGTGGCGCCATTTTCAATGTCTTGCTATATCGGTAGTTCACAATTGTTCTGTACAGTTCTCACACACGTTCCTGAATTCCCTTTGTTTTACCTTATTTTTCAAGTTTTCAACCCCAAATATTTTTTATTGGCACCTTCAATAGTCAGGCAAACGCGTTTAACATCTAGTTATACAATTTTAATCAAATTGTCTTTGTATTAGATCGATGTTTACAAGTGGACTTATAAGTACCGTCAGGGCACACGGTCATTTTTTTAGGTTTTTTGAAAATGGCAGATTTGTTAAGTGAAGTTACATAAATATTGTCTTGATAATAAATTATCGAAATGTACTCAAAAAATGATATTTACACATTTATAAGAAGGTTTGCATAAGGTTTACCTAAGAAATATTGTAATTACATGTTAATTTCTATTAGTAAAAAATAACAAGAATAAAGGTATCAGTTGCAGGCTCGTTTACAAGGTTTAGTTTACTGCATTTGTATACCAAAGCCTAGTTCTAGTAGTTAGATTTAATTTGTTAGTTATATTTACTGCAATAAACTGTCTTGCCAACAATAACTAGCATTTACGTAATGTATACCTGTAGACTAGTAATGGTCCATACTTATGCATATAGTATAGATCTATAAGGTAAATTTTAATCAGTTTACAGAAAAGAGTAATCCACTACTGCTATCCTAAACACATTGAGCTCACTTCTATTTATTAACTTTGCACTGTAGTGTAGACTTGTCATAACATTCTAGTAGGCTACAATTATACTAGTATTACTAGTAGTTGTGTGCTGAATGACTAGGCTTTTGTTTGTTTATGCGGCTCATTGTACTAGTTATTGGAAGTTTCCAGCAAAAGCATATTCATTCCGGCAACCGTTGCTACACCAGAAAGACCACAGACAAGATTGAGGGAGCATGACATGTCGACTACTTTTGCTGTGTATGAGGTCTAAGATGTGTTCCCATAGAAAATCCAGTAAAAATCGTACTCAAAATATACTTTTGTGCTGTATTTATGTGTGAAAATTACAAAATGTGGTTGTTTTGATGATTGCCATGTTATTAGTTAATAAATTTTATCGTTTGTTCCTGTTTTGTAAAAAAAAAAATTTTGAAAAAAAATGTCCTAGTTTACTGACGGTACTTATAAGTACCAATATCTGTTAGGGCCATTAAAAATTTATGAAACGAAATTTCCTTCGACATATGCTTTGAATGTGCCAAAAGCAATATAGTAACACGTTGTTTAAGTAAAAATCTCATTCAGAACATAATTCCGTAAATAAGGGGTTAATAGTGATTTAATAATGATACTTTCTTAACCCTCTACTGGACATCATGCTTGGTACCTTGCCCCCGGCAACTGGGTGGATTTGGATTACACCCAAGTTTTACTTCATAGTAAATGGCTTCAGTTTTAATTATTGGAGTTGGTAGCAACATTGACAGAGTTGAAATCACATTAATTAGTATATAATTTACCATTACTAATAATATGCCCTACTTAATTGTTTAATGTAACTGGATATTAAGCCTGGTAGGTATTTATATTTATTAATTTGTACAGAAACAAAAAAAGGATTCCCAAACAAAGTTTTATTTTTCAGAAATAAAGAAAATGATACAAACCAATAAAGAACAGTTTTCAAAAGAATTTGTATAAAAGTAATTATCATAAAATAAGAATATAGCATTGCATAGATAAAAATAAAATACTTGACACAAACAATATGAGGAATATTTTTTATCAGAGAAGAGAAAAATATATGATGTAGTTTGAAAATAATAATGTACAGAATGTAGCTTTTGCAGATTAAAATGAAAATTCTCATGCCTATATAATTTATTGATTAAATGAAGCAAGACCCAAAACAATAGGCTAAATAATATGCATGGGACAGGCATTGAATTTGAAAACTACAAATTGCATATAGTGAAGGTTACCCTATTTATTGGCTATATCCACAGTAAAGATTTATGGCTTTATTACCTGCTTGTAAAATTGTTAAGGAAAAAGTAAAGTATTGTTAACTTTTTATGGCAGACCAACTACGGGCTGTGTTCTGGGAACATGTCATCTGTAAGGGGCATTGTTCTCGGCACATGTTGCCATTTTGTGTGTTCTGGGAACATGTTGCCATTTTGTGTGTTCTGGGCACATAATGACATTTTGTGTGTTCTGGGAACATGTTGCCATTTTGTGAGTTCATGGAACATGTAGACATTATTTGGCTGTGTTCTGGGAACATGTTGACATTATGTGGCTGTGTTCTGGGAACATGTTGACATTATGTGGCTGTGTTCTGGGAACATGTTGCCATTTTGTGTGTTCTGGGAACATGTTGACATTATGTGGCTGTGTTCTGGGAACATGTTGACATTATGTGGCTGTGTTCTGGGAACATGTTGACATTATGTGGCTGTGTTCTGGGAACATGTTTGTTTCATTTTTAAATATTACAATAAAACATTTTTAGAAATTCTATATTAGGAATTGTGTATATATATAAATTTATATATTTAATAAGACAATTGGATGAATTATAATAAACAGCAAAAATGATTCAAATAAGTTTAGAAGTATTTGGCTTGCTGTCCTAACAGTGAACTGTATTGCGAGCTTGTTTCCCTAGTGATAACCCATGCTTTTTGTGCGACCCTTCCAATCAAGTATCCAGCTTTTTCTTGGCCTGTATCAAAATGCTGGTCAGACTTGCTTGACTTGTGTATCACAATATGATTTTGAATGTTTTTCTGTAAATGAAATAAAGGCAAAATATTTTGATACTTTCTTTTGTGGAACTTGCAAGAAAAATAAATTACAAATTTATATTACTATCTCTAATATTTCTTTACTATAACTAATTACTTTGAAAAGATAAAGCACTGAACATGATGAATAACAAGAAACAAACATTATCAGCAAAGATTATAGATTTAAAATTGTGTTCATTCATATTGAAGATTAATGAAGTAGACTATCAATATTTACCCTCTTGATGGCTGATACTTTGATTTGATGTCTTTACTTTAAGCTTACACATCAGTCTCTGTGTGGTAAAATATGAAATAATATGCTTCAATAAAACTGTTTCAGTATATTAATTATATTAGATAAGTACATAGTTTTGAGCTCTATAACAATATGTGTTTCAATTATCATTCAAATATAATACCCTCTATGTTGTATACTCACTGATTTATTAGAATTTAAAAAAAGACAATAATTAATAAAATATTTTGGATTAAAATCCATTATATTTATTATAACATACAATGCTATCTCTTGCTATAATAATTACTTTAAAAAATGGGTTATGCCTATAGTACAGTTACCTGAGGATGAAACTAGGCACAGTGTATAGTCCACGGAGACTGATTAATATCCCTGGTAATTGAACATCAGTTGTAGTTATGAAATCTGGATGGCCAAACACACACTCATAGTCCTGAAAAGCAATTTACACATAGATTAGCAAGAATATCTCACAAATTATTAAATTAAAGCTAACCCCTATTTAGTGCAATCCATCAAAGTAGTAGCATTTTTCGTTAAGTTGTAGACACAATACAAAGTAATGTTTGGTCTGTGATTTACATACTTTTATAGAATAGCAATCAAATTATATATATATATATATATATATATATATATATATATATATATATATATATATATATATATATATATATATGTATACATATATATATATATGTATATATATATATATATATATGTATATGTATATATATATATATATATATGTATATATATATATATATATATATATATGTATATGTATATATATATATATATATATATATATATATATATATATATATATATATATATATATATATATATATATATATATTCATTGTAAATTTTAGCTATGTCTTGCTATTAAATTTATTTACTCGACTGATCTAAACTCACTTTATTTAAACATAATATAGTGGATAAGTATAGTGATTTTATTATTCAGCAATAAATAGCAGCCCTAAAAAAATGTAAATAGTAACGTTTGCGAATGAACACATTAAATTCTATGTATTTCCATTTCTATGTCTTTCCCAACTTGATGCATATTACTAACCAAGCATTAAACTATAGTCCTAAACCTGACTCTAATTACCATTTATTGGACAACCTGAACCTTTGCCATACCATGTTATAATATATTATTTTAAAAAAGAGCTTACCACTAATTAGTAAAATCAATTGTTTTTAGTATTAACTGAGCCGCATACTATCTGCTGCTATTGTCATCACCAGAAATCCAGTATGTTGGCAAAGATTAGTCTCTAAGTTCCCTGCAACCTCTTTCCTCTCGAGTGCGGAAAACACTGAAATCATTAATCATTATTTCATTATGCCTAATAGTTTAAAAGTACTATTAAAGTAGTACTAAACAGTACGAGTCTAAGTTACTATAGGTCTAATGATAATTATTATTGTGTATGCTTACATGCTTTAAGTTTTATGCACAATATTGGTATATAATATATAGTCTATAGTATATAGCCTAAGCTATAGAGTATATAGGCCTATGAGCCTAAATATATAACAGCAGCTTGAATAATGCTCATTAGCATGCATTCACTATAAACTATAAAGATAATCAAATATTTCAATTTAATTAAATTATAACTAATAGGCCTAATAGTAAATAGGCTTTTTTCTTGTGGCAACAAATTTAAAGTATAGGGCAGTACAGTTATAGTATAGGCCTACTAGATTCTATATTTAAGTATGTGGGCTTTTCATTCCAATGCACCACAATAGATACCACACATGATCAAGCTGGACCTCTGATCTAAAGATTTAATAATTGGGCCTAACAAACAGTGAAACTACAATAAAAATCATGTAAATTACTAATTTAACCTTCTTATCTCCGCCTCTCTAGATTCCTCTATTCTATTTCCTTCAAACTTTCTTTTTATGCAGCCGTATGATTAGATTCTAGACTATATTCTAATAAACTTGAAATAACTACTAACCAGAACACTAGATCTATATTTCTATATTCTATGCAATATGTATTAAACCTATAGGCCTAATATTTATTTTAAATTCCTATGCGATGTGTCGTGAACTGTAGGTTTCATGTTATTTTTTTAATGGCGGAAATCAGTTTAAAATTTCGTTTCCTTCCTTTTGTTATTCTATTTATAGATTCAAACTGCTTAGAGACGGAGCAATTATCATTGAGTAAGTCGGCTGATCCAAACAGGAAGTGCGGGTATATCTATTAGTTACTCAGTGATCTGATCATTGACAAAAACAGAGATAGCCATTCGCATGGGGTGACTATGACTATGACTATGACTATGGCTATGGCTATGGCTATGGCTATGGCTATGGCTATGGCTATGGCTATGGCTATGGCTATGGCTATGGCTATGGCTATGGCTATGGCTATGGCTATGGCTATGGCTATGGCTATGGCTATGGCTATGGCTATGGCTATGGCTATGGCTATGGCTATGGCTATGGCTATGGCTATGGCTATGGCTATGGCTATGGCTATGGCTATGGCTATGGCTATGGCTATGGCTGTGGCTATGGCTATGGCTATGGCTATGGCTATGGCTATGGCTATGGCTATGGCTATGGCTATGGCTATGACTATGACTATGACTATGACTATGACTATGACTATGACTACTACTAGGACAAGGACTAGGACTAGGACTATGACTATGACTATGACTATGACTATGACTATGACTAGGACTAGGACTAGGACTAGGACTAGGACTAGGACTAGGACTAGGACTAGGACTAGGACTAGGACTAGGACTAGGACTAGGACTAGGACTAGGACTAGGACTAGGACTAGGACTAGGACTAGGACTAGGACTAGGATTATGACTATGACAAGGACTAGGACTAGGACTAGGACCAGGACTAGGACTAGGACTAGGACTAGGACTAGGACTAGGACTAGGACTAGGACTAGGACTAGGACTAGGACTAGGACTAGGACTAGGACTAGGACTAGGACTAGGACTAGGACTAGGACTAGGACTAGGACTAGGACTAGGACTAGGACTAGGACTAGGACTAGGACTAGGATTAGGACTAGGACCAAGACCATGAGCATGACCATGACCCTAAACACTGACCCTGACCCTGACCCTGACCCTGACCATGACCATGACCATGACCATGACCATGACCATGACCATGACCATGACCATGACCATGACCATGACCATGACCATGACCATGACCATGACCATGACCATGACCATGACCATGACCATGACCATGACCATGACCATGACCATGACCAGGACCAGGACCAGGACCAGGACCAGGACCAGGACCATGACCAGGACCAGGACCAGGACCATGACCATGACCATGACCATGACCATGACCATGACCATGACCATGACCATGACCATGACCATGACCGTGACCGTGACCGTGACCGTGACCGTGACCGTGACCATGACCATGACCATGACCATGACCATGACCATGACCATGACCATGACCAGGACCATGACCATGACCATGACCATGACCATGACCATGACCACGACCATGACCACAACCCTTTCCCTTACCCTTACCCTTACCCTAACACTAACCACAACCACAGCCATAACCACAACCATAACCACAACCACATCTTTTAACAATAACCATAACCACAACCACAGCTTTAACCATAACCATAACTATAACTATAGCTATTCCTACTGCAATCATCTTCTATTTATCGCCAGTGCCATTAAAATAATAGGTTATAATTGACTAGGAAAATATCTTGTCCTTACACCTCAACGTACAGGTAAAGATTTTATGATATTTAATAGTTAGACACATTGGTTCTTCAATAATTGTTAGTTGTTAACTTTCTGAAATAAAATGGTGTCGTGATATTTTTTAAACAATTTTAAAAAATAGACCTTTAACCTATTTTACAATATTGTGATCAATTTCTTTATTCAATTTATTCATTAACAGTATCAACGTTATGCCTTTTTTTAAAACCATAATAACAATATTGTAATTTTTTTAAAAAGAATTTGGTAATAAAGACATAAAAGTAACACAGTATTTAAAAAAAAATTACATAAAAATTGTGCAGAAAAGGACATTGAAATTGAAAAAATAAAGTTAATAGTTTATTTTTGTCATAGTTGAAAGCACCTCCATTATCATGTGATACGCTCCTACGAACAACGCAAATGATGAAGAAAAAGACCGCTTCTACCAATAGCTTCAGTCGGTGGTTGATAAGGTACCCAAGCGCGACATGCTTATCCTCATGGGTGATTTAAATGCCAAGTAGGCAGAGACAACAGAAACAGGGAATTGGAGATGGGAACCAATGGCCTAGGGGAAATGAATGAGAATTGTGAACTCTTCACAGACTTTTGTGCCTCAAATGAGCTTACTATCGGCGGTACACTTCCCCCCCCCCCACCAGATGATCATACCGAAAACCAGATTGATCATGTCGCGGTACGGCGTCGTTGGAGGGCCTCACTGCAGGATGTGAGAACAAAGCGAGTAGCCGACATAGGATCTGATCACCGCTTGGTTGTTGCTAAATTGAAAATGAAGCTAAAAGCGAAGAAGAGGCAACATGAAATTGATCCACGCAGAAGATTTGATGCAAGTAAACTTAAGACACAAGATAACTTGACAAATTGTCAGGTCACCCTAAAAAATTGGTTTGAAGCTCTACACACAGAAGAAAAAGATTTTGATTCAGTTGAACACACCTGCGAAATATTTAAGCAAGCCACTATCGAAGCCTGCAAAGAGGCTCTAGTAAGAGGAAGCCCTGGATCACAGACGATACATGGCAGAAGGAGGACAAAAAAAAGAGCCTAAAGAGCGAACTAAATCAAGCAAAAACACGGCAGCAGAAACAAGCAGCAGCTTCTCGATATAACGAAAAGGCTAAAGAGGTGAAAATAAAACTAAGAAATGAAAAGAGATTGTTTATGAATGAAATGGCATAGCAGGCCGAAACAGAAGCCAGTGAGGGAGATCTCAAGACTTAACTTGGTCTTAAACACAGGACAGATCCCAACCGACTGGAAGAAGGGCATCCTTTTGAAGTGCTAAGAACGGTGACTTATCTGTGTGGAAAATGGAGGGGCATTACCTTGTTGTCCATCCCAAGTAAAGTCCTTATCAGATTTAGTTTGGACAGAATGAAAGATGGGATTAACCTTAAGCTAAGAGAGAAACAAGCAGGGTTTAAAAAGGAAAGATCTTCTACAGATCAGATAACCACTCTTAGAATTATTGTAGAACAGACGATAGATTGGCAAGCCCCGCCGCTTTACATCTGCTTTGTTGACTTTGAGAACGCCTTTGATAGTGTGGATAGGCAAACAATATGGAATCTGTTGAGACACTATGGTGTACCTGCTAAGTTAGTGGAAATAATCCAGCAACTTTACAATGGATTTTCATGCCAAGTTAGCCATGCTGGGAAACTGTCTAAAGAGTTCCAGGACAACACAGATGTGAGACAAGGATGTCTGCTGTCGCCCCCCCCCCCCGTCTCTTCTTGTTGGTTCTCGATTGGGTGACAAGCACAGCCTATGCCAGTTCTGGAAAAGCTATACAGTGGACACTCACGGGGAAACTAGAGGATCTGGGTGCTCTTGCCTTACTCTCGCACAGGCTACAAAACATGCAAGAAAATTTGAAGCATTATGAGCCATCTATGAGCGCGTAGGTCTCAAGATCAACAAAGAAAAGACAGAAGTGATGAGAATTAACAATAACCAGGATGCCCCAGTGACAACAGACGGAAGACAGGTAAATGATGTGGAAGAGTTTGTCCACCATGGCAGCAAGATCAGCTAAACGGGAGGCACAGATGAGGACATACGTGCTAGAATAAATAGAGCCCGCTGCGCTTTCACAGTACTACGACCCATATGGAAAAAATCTGCCATCTCCATTATCAGAACAATTATGATATCTTACTCAAATGTCAAGGTTGTGCTGTATGGAGCAGAGACATGTATCAGCAACGATACAGACCTTCATGAACATATGCCTTAGACAGATATTGAAATTGAGATGGCAGGATAAAGTGCCGAACATAGCATTATGGAGAAACGCAAGGCAGGAGCCTATGGGTGAGCAAATAAGAAGGAGGAAGTGGCGCTTGATGGGACACACACTGCGAAAGGCTTACTCAAATGTTACACGCCAAGCGCTTGAGTTGAACCCCCGGGGAAAACAATGCCAACCATATTTTCACTAATTTTTCGTCATGCAGAAATAAAACTTTTGTCACGAGGGAATCGCGATGGGTTTCATAAAAACAAGTTAATAAAAAGTCTAGTGACAATTTAAGCGCAATTTCTTTATGTTCAAATAATAGTCTAAAAATAGATAGTGATCAAGTTTGTTTTTAAACTAGCTCCTCTTCCTTCGCTTGCGGCTCGCGGAGTTCGCTGCTAAGCCAGCCAGGTCAAATGATTTACCCTCGTCCTTCGCCTTCCACTGCCGATTTTGCTATATTGTACTGTAATGTATTATGTATAATGTAATTAAAAAAAATGTTGTGACCGAACGAAAGGATATTTTTGAAAACTTTCTTCGGCAATATTGTTCTAAATAATGGCAGAAATCGATTGGTAAATGTTTCAATTCGCTAAGTGGTCTGGTTGCCGAGATATGGCCCAAAAACTGCATTTTTCGAGATTTTTTGGCTTTTCTGGGAAATCCAGGAAGGAATTCCAGGAATCTTTTTGGCCCACAATCATCCTCGGAACTTGCTTAACATATTTGCTTTGGAACAAGTCCTCGATATTGCTTCGTAGAGGAGGAGATACGACTTAAAGCTCGGACATCCATCCATCCTTGACGAGTTAATAAACGCAATTCTCCAGAATGGAAATTGCGCTAAAAAGTAAATAATATGAAATTCTGAATACTAAAAAGGGTACTATTTTTTCAGACGTGTAAATTTCGGACCAGTAGCTTTTTCAAAAAGTTGTCGTGACAAAAATTATAATATATACTGAAATATAAGTAGTTAAAATTCGATTGCTAAAGATGTATAAATAAAAAAAAAAGCTTTAGCGTTTTTAAAAGTACTGACATTTTCAAAATGTCGGGTTTTCTTTTAGGTTTCCATTACAACATAAATTGTTTTTAACCTTTTTTTTTGCTGTTTTATACTTACTTCCATTGCCAAACATGATAAAGTATTCAAAAGGCAAAAGATCTTAAATTGAAAAAAAAAGAAAGAAAAACGGACCATAACTTGTATAACTACCGATTTTAATAAATCCATAAGAAATGGATTAAACAATTTTCATAATATCAAAAACCTTAATTTTAGTATTCAGTGTGAATACAAACTAGTAGTTTTCTCGTAACACACATTAAGTATATCTAAACTAAGCATTTTTATTAAACATATAGACCATGTCTTAACACTTTTCAGAATCTCCATACAATATTTTATGTATATTTTTTTAGGTGTTTTATAATATTATTTTGCATTTTACGAACAAATAAAAACTGCAGAAAAGTAATAAATGTTTTAAATAAATTGATCTCTGTTTAAATAACACATACGATTTATTTTTGTTGACCTTTAAAACTACAAATAACAATTCGTAAAATATAATTATTTGAATGTTTTTGTTTAATTGGTTTTATATGTCGATTCCTCTGATGTCTCTAGTGTTTCTAATGCATTCTAACAGGGGTTCGAGTGTTAGTATAAAAAAGATTGGAGATAAGGGGCAGCCATAGTTGACTGATTTATTTATTCTAAATGGTTGGGAAATATTATGGTTTAGCAGTATCAGTAGGTGACTATGTGCATTAAATAGATTATTTTTATCCATGTCTTAAACTGTTTGCTTAAAAGATTTTGTGAAGGTATGTGTGAGCTAACCGGTCGAAGGATTTTCTAGGTCTAAACTGAGTATGCACGCTTGTGTGTTTTTCTCGTGTGTGTAGTGGATGATGTCTCTAATTAAGTGATTGTGATTTTGTGTGTTCTTACCTGTGATATTGCATTGTTGGTCTACATGTATTAATTTATGCAAGTGTGGTTCAATTTTGATTATAAAATTGGTAAAATAGCAAAATGTACTTTGGATGAACAAATAATTGTTACGTTTCTTAACAAAAAAAGGATGGTTGGTTGCATTTTTGAAGAAAATGTTGTGACCATTAATTGAATGTTTTTACAAAAAGAAGAACCGAAATGCTGTGAGCGTAGTTACTGGTTTAAACTGGTAGATGAACCAGGACACATGAATCATGCTAAAATATTATCTTTTTCTTAGGGATTCCATTTATTTTCTTAACACTAAAAATGCGTTGTAAACATTAAAAAAAAAATAAATGCATAAATAGCGAACACTCAATTAGAAGGGGTTAAATGTTACTATGTGGAGGGCAATATAGATGTAATATGAAATAGATAACATATAATAGCTATCTATTTAACAAAAATTCAAAACGTGCAGCACTAACAGAATGTCATAGAGTGTCAGGCAAGTGCACATAAGTTAGCAGGAACTTTCCTATTATGTACGCCAACGGGTTGTACTGGAGACTATATCTAGCAGACGCCACAGAACCAGCAGGTCTCATTAAGCAAATAGTTGTTCGAAACAACGATACAGACATGTTGATTGACCATAGTGACCGGTTTGTGTGTTCGCTATTTAACAGTAATCTTTATTCTGTTTAACTCAGTAATTTTGAAATCCTGATTATAATTTATTTAAAATTTGTTGGATTAAAAAAAAGATAATATTAACGTAATCAGCGTTAAGGCTGTAAAAGTAATCGGCACTTTAAAAATTAATCCTTATTTTACTTATTCAAACACAAAGCTACATAACCACAATAACTTTGACTTAGAAAAATCTAAATAAAATAAATCCGTGATCAAATACAAAAGCTTTACTACTACAGTAATTAGCTCGTATATTTTTAATTACAAAATGTTTGCTTGGTTGTTCCTCGTGGACAAACAATCTAAGTTTCTTCTAGGCATCTCTTCGGACAGGGGGTTGGGGCGAAGAAAATCGACAAACCTTCCACCCCCGCCCCTTCTCCCCCACCCCCCACACCCCAAAGGGAAATGCAATTTAAATAGAAAACATACTTTTACCAGTGTGCGCCCCCAGCCCACTCTGCGGAAAATTTAGTCCGAACCCCCCCCCCCCCCCCAAAGAAGAAGGTCTGGAAAAAACACTACTAACAATGTTTACAATTTTTAGTGAAAAGAATAGATATTTATGGCATATTATTTACAAAGTAGGGAAATTAACAACCTTTATTTAGCAATGAATTGTTTAAATTTTTTTATTTCCCTTTTTCAGTAAGCAGCCATTAAGCTCATTTATTTGGTAAGCATAACATATGTTTGTAAAATTATGCACATTATTGTCTCGAAATTATAGAAATAAGGAAACACATAGGTAATTATATAAAGATAAACAAATCTTATACTAAGGTCAACGAGACTACTATTGTTATCAATTATTACGTATCGAAACATCTAATAGTTTCTACAACCACATTACATTTTAATCCTACCCTACAAAACAAATAACAGTCCGTATTAGAATAATAACATCTTAACTAAACACATTAGGACATGCACATGATCACAGCAAGGCCTAGCTGGTCAAACATTCCTTGAATCTTATCATTATAAGATAGCTGCATTTACTTTCTCGACCACTGACCTTCCTGGTCCGCTCATTGAAAATAAATATACAGCCATTACCAAATTTTTGTGTCAAGGCTAAAGATGTTCTAGATAAATGCTCTAAAAGGAGACAAAGAGATGTCGAAAATATTACATTTGTAATCAGTACACTTACATTAATTTAAAAGAAAAATGGTTTTACCTTTTTTTTTTAAACTAAGTAGTAAAGATTTTGAAAATAAGAATAAAAATGAAAAGAAGAATTAAGGGGATATGCGCGAAAAAAAATCACAAAATTTCTTGTTTTCCGTCATGATGGGTTTCTTGCACTTTTGGATACTTTGTCCATTTTTGTATAAAGAAAATAATAACTTAAAAGAGAAAAAAATATTTTATGTGTTTGAATTACGATTTTTATGACCCTATTAATTAAAAAATAATCAATTTTTCCCAATCTTACAAGCTCTCTATGAAAAGATTTATATCCGTCATTATATTGTATTTGACATCATTGGAAAGCTGGATTTCTCATGTATTTAATAAACTTAATTTCCTACATCTCGGAAACACCCAACGCTTACAATCGGCTTTGCAGTTTACACAGATATGGTACTTTCCTGACCTAGTTTTCGTTACTTTTGGTGGTTTTTCTCAGTTCGCAGGTTTTTAACACTAAAAAGCCTACTACTTTTTTATTTATTAAACAATGCCAACCATATTTTCAGTAAATGTTCTTGATGCAAAAATACAACTTTTGTCACGAGGGAATTGTGATTGCTTTCATAGAAAAAAAGTATTTGGTAATTAATATGCAAATTTTGAAACTTTTGAATATTAAAAAGGGTAAGATTTTTTAGACATTGTAAAATTTTTACTAGTAATTATTTCAAATAGTTGTCGTGACAAAAGTTTTAATATATACTGAAATATAAGCAGTTTAAATTTGATTGCTATAGGTGCATAAATAAAAAAGCCTTAGTATTTTTAAAAGTACCGAAAAATTCAAAATGGCGGAGGTTTTTTGGGTTTCCATGACAACCAAAATTGTTTTCGCCCCGTTTTTTTGCTGTTTAATACTTACTTTTATATGCCAAATATGATAAAAGTATTCAAAAGTTTCTAGATCTTAAACTGAAAAAAATAGAAAAAAACATAGCATATCCCCTTA